AGCGAGGCGGCCGGGGGCCCCGCCTCCGCGCGCCTCCAGCGCCTCCCCGCGCGCATCCCTCCCCCGCTGCCGTCAGCCTGCGCCGCCGGCCCTCGGCCGCGTGATGCTGGCGGCGGTGGGCTTGCCCTTCCCCGCGCGCGGTCCTCCCCTGCTCGGACGGTGATGGCCGGCGGCGGTGTGCTTCGGCCGGTGGCGGTTCGGCGTCCGGGTGTGGAGGCCGGCGGTGCTCGCCTTGGTGGTGCCGCCTCTTGGCGGCGGGGTGGTCCGGTGGTGCTGGCCGGCCGGGGGCCGTCCCCGGTCCAGATCTGGGCCCGTAGGGTTCCTTCTGGGTCCGTGCGGGTCGGTTCCGGCGCAACTGCAACGCTCTCTGTATGAGGAGGCTGGGGAGCGGCTTGGACTGGGTCAGCGACGCCGGCGGCGTACCAGCTGCTGCGCGGAGGCGGGAGCTGTCCGGGCCTTTGAGGGCCCGGCCGGGCCTGTGGGGCCACGGGCCCGGTAGGCTCCTGCCATGGCGTCCGGTCGGCTACCGTCGTGGACGGTGGAGGTGGGGCCCTCCCGTATGTCGATGGTGCTGTTGCTCTAGTCCCGGCTCCTCTTCTCCGTTGTGCAGACCATCTTCGCGGTGCTGTGGTGAGACAGCGTGGGAAGCTTCGTGTTCGTGTTGGCGCAGGGTGGTGGTCGGTTTGGTGGCGAGCTCCGGAGTGCCTAAGGGAGAGGCTGGGATCGGGAGAAATCTTTGTTGGCTTGGCCGACACCGACGCGGTGGCGCCTGAGGGTGCCGCCGGACCTTCTTGGAGGGCGTCGGGGCTACCCTTCCTCTCTCCTCGCCGTGTACCGGGGGAAACCCTTGGCAGCAGCGTCGTCATCGTCGCGTCCCTTCTTGGAGGTGTTGTTGGGTACAGGCACTTCGGAGTCTCGGAGCTTGGTGGGTGATCTCCGGTGGACGCAGCGGTCACGAGGCTTCGTCGTTTTTGTCGATCCGCCGTTATCGGCATTTGTTTCTTTTCTTTTTTTTCTTTCTTTTCTTTTTGGGCGTGTTTGTGCTGCTTCTGCCCCAGCCCCTATCGTCGGTTGTATCGGTTGGTTGCTTTGTAATACAAAGCGGGGGGAAACCCTTTTTCGTCAGCATGTGGCCATTCCGCTGAACAGGATGCGATGGATTTGGGGAATGTGGTGCGGGAGGATGGAGGTGGGGTATGTGGGGAAAGTGGCAGACAGAGGAGACAGCAACGTTGGACCTAGGTATCAATTTGCCTGAATGCTTATACTGTGGAACAAGTTTTGAACG